CTTTGTCATACATTCAACATGTTCTTCTTAAATAAAAATAGTTGAATTCCTTTTATAATAATGTAAAAGATAAAGATTATCATAAAAACACACAAATTCATAGCAGCATTATTTGTAATAGCAAAGAGTTGAAAAGAACCTTAAATAGTCTGGCAATAGAATAGAGAATCTGTGGTATGTCCATAGGATGGAACACTATATAGTAATGAAAATGAACAGCTACACACAAACATGTAGATGAACTCACAAATACTGTAAAAGAAGCCAGATATAACAGAGTACATGCCATATGAGTCCATTTATGTAAAGTTCAAAAGTAGGAAAAATTAATCCCTCATGTTAGTAGTTAGGATGGTGATTTCCTTCAGGGGAACCAGTGATTAGGAGGAGGCAAGGTGAGGCTTCCAGGGAACTGATAATTCTTCATTCTATACTCACTTTATAAAAGTCATAAGTTTACCTTGTAAAAAGTCACCTAACTATAAATTTATAATTTTGTACCTTCACATATATAAGATACACTTAAATAAAAATTTATTTGGATAAAAGCAAACTGAAATAAACACCACCTGATTCATATTTTCCCATCCTTCTTCCTGAATCCAAATAAGAAGTTAGAACATTCAACATCTTACCCTGTAGCCAGCACCAGGATTTTAAGTGACTCAATGATCACCTCTTCTCCATCCTTTGTTTTTTCCTGGATAGTCTCATTTTTAATAGGAATCACCTGGTCCCTATGAATTCTCTTTGTATCATCTCAAACTTCTCCAATATCACATTTGGAGGATTATTTGGGGGGTAGGAGATGGTCTCAAATTCTAGATTTCTTTCCATCTGGTTTCTCTTTTATCCATTTCTTCAATTTGTTCCCATTGGCAGACAGGGATTTGATCCTAGTCAGTGACAGCCCAAAACACATAGGCCCAATGAGTGGTGACATACTCTAGCTATGACTGATCAGTGACTCATCCACTCTCCTAGTAGGTTATTATATTTGGAGCTTTCACTTTAGATAAGCTCATCTAGAGGGGTTGAAAAAAATCTGCTAGAGCCCTGACTTTTAAAATTATTATTACTACTACTACTACTACTACTACTATTATATTTGTTGTTTTTATTATTATTATTATTATTATTATTATTATTACAATAAATGTTTTCTGGATCCTTGCCATGCTTTTAATAATTGAAAACAGAGCTCTAAAAGCCTCCATAGCCAGTCCCAGAGGACTCTCTAATCAGAAGGACATAACCATGGCGCCTGGGTGACTCAGTCAGTTAAGCATCTGACTTGGGCTCAGGTCATGATCTCGCCGTTCCTGGGTTCGAGCCCTGTTGTCAGGCTCTGTGCTGACAGCTCAGAGCCTGGAATCTGCTTCGGATTCTGTGTCTCCCTCTGTCTCTGTCCCTCCCCTGCTTTTGTTCTCTCTCTCTCTCAAAAATAAATAAAAAATTTAAAAAAAAAAGGAAGAAGAAGAAGGATATAAGCTAATCCACGGCAGCATCTCTTGGGAGCCTCAAGAGGCCTATAGACACTGCCTTGGTTCTAGGAAGGCCTGACCAACAGTGTCACAACTACACCATCTCTTCTTCAGGGAATGAGGAGGGGACTTTGGCCTCTTACTAGGGGTATTCTTATCCTTATATATCCTTAATTCTTCTGTTGATAAAATAAATGACAAAGCAAAGATGCGGTTGATAATGGTTACCACTGTGGCATGGAGAGTAGTTTGCCAACCTTTCTTAACTTTGTAATCCTTTATGCAAGTATATTCAGGTAGGAGGGGGTGATATTATTGAGTTCAGGGCAGGAGAGGAGACTTACCACCTAAGCTGCTACCCAACCTTCAACAGCTTCTAAGTGGGCTCTGCTGGGTCACAGAAACACACTGCCCTGAGTCTTTGTCCTCCTAAAATGGTGTAGTTCACAGGCCACTGGAAGAGCAGCTTCCCAAATCCAGTCCTCCAGTGAAGGCCAGACTGGTTGTATAATAATCACTTGTGGAGTCGGTCAACATTCAGACTGCCAGGCCTGATTAAATTTAGTGGTGGGTCCTGGGAATCTATATTTAACAAGGCCCCCAGGTAATTATGATGCACAGACCAGTTTGGGAACCATGGGAATGGCCTGAACAAAAACCTACATCCATGTTTCTGAAAGTAAAGACCAAGGACTATCTGCATCAGAGTCACCTGCATGTCTGGAGTGTGCATATTAGGACACAGAAGGTTACCCTGAGAAATGGCATGTGGGGGCAACTTTAGTTGAATTGAACAAGGGTTCAGGCCTTCACTGTATTGAAAGCCAAATACTATTGGATCTGGCAGCATTTGCATGTGGATCAAAGTTCCTATACAGTTTCTCTGACAGTTTCTGAACTTAGGGCAAGGCCAATTCCCTTCTGGGAGACCCACCAATGTCTTTGCTTTATTTGCTCACTCCATTTGTATCCCTCCTCTTCCCCCATCCAAGAATCCTTGATCTGGGCTTATGGTTAGAAAAATTGGCTGAGACTGATTCATGTTCTTCCAAATCTCTCATTCTTGGATCTCTGTCAAAAAGTAAAGTGCTTTGTATTCTGTGATCTGCTGAGACCTCCCTTTCCCAAGACATGAAGTTGGAAAACTCTAGCTTAAGGTAGAGAAAGGGTCTCAGGGTACCAGCAAAGGCAGAGGGAATATACACTGGTTCCAGTAACTTTCTGTTTCTTGAGCTAGTGTTAGGCACACAGGTATGTTCAGTTTAAAAAGACACATTGATTTGTGCATCAGTACACTTATGATTCATACACTTTTCTGTATGTAAATTATAATTCAATGAAATTTACAATAAAAATTTGCTGATATCTCAAAATATTATTGTGGCCACAGGTAGATTGGTTGATCAGTAGAGGCAAAGATAGAGATACAGGTATATTTTGAATAAAAATTGTTAATGGAAACTGTTTCAGTATTTTAAGTATGTTGTTTTTAATTTAATTTAAATTCTTCAATTTATCATAGCCTTAAAACTGTCAAACACTTTATTTTTTTAATGCTTTTTTTTTAAGAGATAGCAAGAGAGCAGAGGAGGGGCAGAGAGAGAGAAGGGGAGAGAGAGACAATCCTGAGTAGCCTTCACACTATTAGCACAGAGCCAGACACAGGGCTCAATCCCATGAACCGTGAGATCATGATCTAAACCGAAATCAAGAGTCAGACACTTAACCAACTGAGCCACTCAGGCACCCCTGTCAAACACCCGAAAACTTAAAAAAAAATTCTTAAAGTTCTGTTCTAAATGAGGACAATAATTAACAGCAAAACAATTTCCCAATCTTGTTACCTGATGATGACCTTTTGAGGGCGCTGCTCCAGCAGTGAATTTTCAGCATATTATCTTTCTTGTAACTTTATAATTTTGGAGTTCATTTGCACAGGAATATTTTCCATCTGTGGATATATCTGCACACACTTGCTGGAGCCGATGGAAAACTTCAAAGAACTTCTAAGAAACAATGGTTTTCAGAGAGCCCTGCAAAGTCAGAGCTCTGTAAGTATTTACATAAGAAGCCACTTAATGTCTGTTTGACTGATGGGAACTTAAATTGCAATAGGGCAGCTGCTGAATAGAAAGTAAAGTGTTTTTAGAGATGAAAGAGACAGTACTCCTGTCTGCCCTCTCCCAAGGGTCAGCGTTATACAACATTCATGCCAAAGAATCACATGAGGTCCTCCTGAATGGCATTTTCAAGGCCGGCTAAGAGAAATTGGAAGCAGGCAGAAATGTCTCTGGTGCCCAATTTCATTCTCAGATCCCCTAGTTCCCCTACCCCCTCCTTTTTCCCACCCCACTTTACCCCCAACCACACACACCATTTAGCTTATTAATCTTTTTCCCTTTCCTCCTCTCAGCTGGATGACATTAAATTCAATCTTTTCATCAAATACACATAAAACAGCGACTCCAAAGGATTAACTGGTAATTAGTGGTACCTGAAGACAGTTTAACATGTTCCCTGTGTCCTTTCCTTTCTAAACGGGGAATTCTGGAAAGAGTTTTCAGACAGGTGGTAGGATGGATATTTCTGGCCAGAAAGGCATCTCTGCCTCACCTCAGTGTTGTGCTTAGAGTCATTTTACGCCACAAAGCCATCCATCCCTTGTTCTTATCAGTTTGCATGAATGCCAGTTTTGGGACAGCATTCCTTTGTCATGTTCTTTGCTAGAAGGCTCAGTGAGGTGACTTCTTGTGGCAGTGGCTTCTAGTTAGAGGGTAAGAAACGTACCCTGCAGGCTCTCACCACCTCCTCTGCTAACAAGGGAATTTTCAAAGGTTTAGCATACTCCCTCTCTCCTCCTAGACCAGGCTGCTGTCTCCTGCTCTAAGTGCACGTGAACACTATGACTGAGTGAGCTCTGTGCCCCAAACCACATTCATATGGCCCTTCAACATAGTCCTGCCTACTGCCTAGAGCAGTAGGTGCTTAGCTTCTATGTACCTCCATTTCCTCATCTATAAACTGGGAAGAGCAACAGTGCCTATCTTATGGCATTATTATGAAGATTAAATAAGTTAAAACCGGAAAAGCGCTTAAGCATGGCACCCCGTAAACAATACTCAATATGGGTTAGCTGTTTAAGCACCCAAAACCATTCTTTTCAGGGGGTTCCCCACATGATAGAGGTGAGAACTCCTAGTAGCCTCTTATTAGTATTTTGTATTAGGTCTGCTTCAAGTAGTCCTCTACTCAAATGCTATTCATCAAGGTGGCATAGCAATCAATCATTAGTACTCACAGCATGCCAGGCACGTTTACATCACTGCCTCCTTTAATCCTCATGACAGTCCTCTGAGGTAGGGGCTGTTGTTCTTCCCATTTTACAGATGACAAACTAGGTACAAGGAGGTTTACTAAATGCCCAAGGTTCCACAGCTACTAAATGGCAGGAGTGGGATTAGAATACAGGCAATCTAGCCCCAAGGTCTGTGTCAGCCACTGTACTTTGCCATATAGTGCACCGCCTACCATTGCGTTGGGCCAGAAGAGGCAAACACACCTGGTGGTCAGAGACCTGGTCTAGCTGTAACAGGCCCACCTCCAGCTTTAATCCGAGCTTGTGTTCAAATGATGGCCCAAACAGAGTTTGCCTTGCCATGCAGAAAAATCTCTCAAGTGAAAAAAGTTTCCTCTGGTAGTAGCTGTCTTCCAGATACAGGGCCCTCTCTAATGTAAGTTTCCCTTCTCTTTTGTTTTCAGAGTTTCCCCTATGTCTGCAATTTCTCAAAATAGTTTTATGCCAAAGAGACATATTTGGGGGCAGCGTATTCTGCTACTCTTCACACTTAATGTATACTAAGAATTGGGCTAAGCGGTTTACATCGATTCCCTCATTTAATTTTCACAAAAACTCTATGAGATAAGCATTGTGACTCTCCCATTTTATAGAAGGGACTCAGAGAGTGCCAGAAGTCACACAGCCAGCACCCTGTGGAGTTGTTATGGGGATTAAATGAGATAATGTATGTAAACAAGCACTTAGAATAGAGCCTTGTGTTGTCCCCAGATTGTTGATGAATCTTAGTAGGATTCTTTATCTCACTCACTTAGGAGAGACCATTCTGATTTAGTCAATGTGGAAAGAGATCTTCACCATCTAGAACAGCCACACTAGTTACCAGCTTAGCAGGAAGATTTTTAAATCAGCTGCCTATGAAAAATATACAGATTCATCAAATATTCATCATATTAATTCTCAGATCATCTTCTATATATGCTTCATATGTATTTCATATATATATATATGTTTCATGTACATATGTTTCAGTGTTCACAGAACCTATTTTTCACTGTATATGCAAATTTTATGTTTGTAAGTGAAAATGTTAATACATTAAATGATTAACCCTTAAACAAAAGGTTTTCTAAAGGATTTCTCAGCACTGATGTGCTCTGAAATTGCAGAATCTTTTCAAGAACTGATATCCAAAGAGGGTCTTCTAATTCCCCATTAGAAATAAATACAATACTTATTGTTGTAGCTCTGATATGTCACCCATTCGTCTCCAAATGTTAGGTCTCTGATGCATAGTGTATGTCTGTAAAATGACGACTGCCAACAGAAAGGAGCTGTTGCTCTCTTTGAGGTAGTTTTCTTCTCTTTGCTTCCTATTTCTGAACTGTACAGCTTCGTAAATAATTTTGTGTGCTGAAGGAAAAGAAAGTGTTTTTCATAAACTCATTATCCAGGCCTGTTTATGGCTGTTGGAAGGACGAGGTCTTCCTTCCCCTATTGTGTAAGGGCAGTGCAGACTTGACTGTACAAAATGTGTTTTGTAAATGTTGTTGCTGTTCACCTGCAAATAAACTTGCTTCCCCTTTAAAAAAAAAAAAAAAAAAAGGCGGGCTGAAGGGCGTGCATCTCGGGCCTGCAACACCTGACTTGCTCCCAAGTTTGACTTCCTGGCCCTGACTAGGCCTTTCCTGGGGAGGTGGCGCCAATGGGGGCCGGGGCTCAGCTCCCAGTTCCTGTGGCTCAGCTGAGAAGCCGGGCGGCACAGCAGAACCGCTTCTCCCGAGGAGCTGCTTAGCAGGAGCTGGAGCTGGAACTCCCTGGGGCAGGGGCCCTGGCTGACGGGCAGCGTCTCCTCCAGGCCGAGGTGAAATACATATATTTTACCACCACCTGCCCCTATTGATAATACATAATGGAAGTGAGCTACTACATAGTAAGTGTCATGAAGAACGATGTCTAGTTAAGAGTTTGCTGGTACGATTCCCCTTAGACCACCTACGGTAGTAAATACGAAGCCCAGGGCTCATAGTATAGCAGGTGATCATTTAATATTGCCTCTGTAAAGAGTGGCAAGTCACCTGAAAACTTTTACTCCAGTAGGGATAGCAATAATTATGGTGGCTGACGTAAAATATGCTCGTGTGTCAATGTCCGTTCCCACAGTGAACATATGATGGGCTTATACAATGAAACCTAAGAAACCAATGGATATTATTGTTCAGACTATTCCTATATAGCCGAAGGGCCCCTTTTTGCCTGAATAATAAGTGACGATGTGTGAAATTATTCCGAAGCCTGGTAAAATTAGAATATAGGCTTCTGGATGTCCAAAAAATCAGAATAAGTGCTGATTTAAGATAGGATCTCCTCCCCTAGCAGGGTCAAAGAAGGTGGTATTTAGGTTTTAGTCTGTCATTAACATTGTAATTCCACCAGCTAGTACTGGTAGTAATGAGTAACAAGACAGCAGTGTTTAGGACAGATCAGACAAATAAGGGTGTCTGATATTGAGATATGGGGGTTTTATGTTAATAATTGTAGTAATAAAGTTTTAATAGCACCTAAAATTGAAGAAACACTTGCAAAGTGTAAGGAAAAAAATGGTTAGGTCCACGGAGGCTCCTGAATGGGCTTGTTTGCCAGCTAGAGGAGGGTATGTGATTCATCCAGTTCCTACACCAGCCTCTACAATTGATGATGTGAGTAGAAGTAGGAAGGATGGGAGAAGAAGTCAGAAGCTTATATTATTTATCCGAGGGAATACTGTATCTGGTGTCCAGTTATTAATGGCACCAATCAATTTCCAAAGCCTCTGATTATGATTGGTATTACCATAAAGAAAACTATTACAAATGCATGGGCAGTGACAATTATGTTGTAGATCTGATTGTCTCCTAGTAGGGTGGCAGGTTGGCCAAGTTCGGCTCAAATTAGAAAGCCAAGGGCAGTTCCTACTATGCCAGCTCAGGCACTGAATAGGAGGTAGAGAGTGCCAATATCTTTGTGGTTAGTAGAAAATAACCAGCGGCTTATGAACCTACGTAAAATGGCTGACTAAAGGATTAGACTATAAATCTAAGAACAGAAGTTCAAGCCCTCTTTTTACCAAGCTCTGCAGTGAAATATATTGAATTGCAAATTCAAAGAAGCAGCTTCAAACGCTGCCAGGGCTTCTCCTGCCTTTTTTCCCCCTAGACTGGCGGCGGGAGAAGTAGATTGAAGCTAGTTGATTAGGGTATTTAACTGTTACCTAAAATTTCGTGAGATGGAGGCCCACCAATCTAGTAAGGGCTTAGCTTAATTGAAGTGTTTGATCTGCAATCATTTGATGGAAGATACATTCTTGGAGTACTTAGGGTTGGGTGTGCAGGAGTTAAATAGATGTGATTTACTTAGGACTTTGAAGGCTCTTGGTCTGTTGTAACCTAAACTCCTAGTCCAAGATGAATAATATTGGTGTGAGTAGAAGTAACATGGTTGAAGTTATGATGAAAGGGAGCAAGAGAATTATTTTTTTTTGTATCTTCAAATTGTCATTTTATTTTTATGCTGTTTGTTGAAGAAAATATAGTTAGTACTGTGTCATATGTCAGTCATATATAAAAGCATAGGTTGAGGAGTGCTATAATGGCTAGTAGCATGGGTATATTGATTATTTAATTTTTTTATTAGTTCTTGAATGATTATTCATTTTGGGGTAAATCCTGAGAGTGGTGGAAGGCCTCCTAGGGACAGTATTAATACTAGGATAAGTGAGGTGGTTAAGGGTGTTTTGTTTCATGTTTGTGATAGCAATAGTGTTGTTGTGGCCGAGCTGTGTATAAATAATATGAAGGTGGTGAGTGTTATCAAAATTATAAATTGTTAGGTTTAGGATTGTTATTGTAGGGCTATAGAGTATGATAGCTGTTACTCAACCTATGTTGGCGATTGAGGAGTATGCTAAGATTTTTCGCAGCTGTGTTTGGTTAAATCCTCCTCATCCTCCAATTAGGACTGATATGATAGCTATTATTAGGAGTAAATTGGGGTTGATGGTAGATGAAATTTGGTAGAGGATAGACCGTAGTACGATTTTTTTGTAATGTTAATAGGATTAGGCCTGAGAATAGGGAGATTCCTTGTGTGACCTCAGGAACTCAAAAATGAAATGGAGCCAAGCCCAGTTTTATTGTCAGAGCAGTGGTTATTATGATAGATGCAGTGGGGTCAAGATTTTTTGATACTGTTCATTGTCCTAAATATAATAGGTTAATAGTGATTTCTATTATTAGGAGCATGGATGCAGTTGCTTGTGTTAGGAAATATTTTGTGGATGCTTCCGTAACTCGTGGGTTAAATTTTTTCATGAGAATAGGAATAATAGCCAGTATGTTTATTTCGAAGCCAATTCAGATTATCGGGCAGTGAGAGCTTGCTGTCACGATTATGCTTCCCGAAATGACTTTTGATATAATATTAATGAGAATAGGGGATTTAATTAGTGCAGGAAGGATATAAACCAACATTTTTGGGGTATGGGCCCGATAGCTTACTTAGCTGGCCTTACTGTAGAATATGGTGTAATATGGTAGCACAAAGATTTTTGAATTCTTAGTATTAGGTTCGAGTCCTATAATTCTAAAAATAAGAGGATTTACACCTCTGTTATTTACTCTATCAAAGTAACTCTTTTAGGGGCGCCTGGGTGGCGCAGCCGGTTAAGCATCCGACTTCAACCAGGTCACGATCTCACGGTCCGTGAGTTCGAGCCCCGCGTCGGGCTCTGGGCTGATGGCTCAGAGCCTGGAGCCTGTTTCCGATTCTGTGTCTCCCTCTCTCTCTGCCCCTCGCCCGTTCATGCTCTGTCTCTCTCTGTCCCAAAAATAAATAAACGTTGAAAAAAAAATTTTTTTTAAATAAAAAAAAAAAAAGACAAAGTAACTCTTTTATCTTTTCTTATGTTTGGGTTGGAATACTTGCTGTGATAATGGGTAAAGATACATGTCATGTGCACAGGGCTAGAATGAGAAGAAGTTTTTTCATAGGAGATGTATGAGTTGGTCATATTGGAATCACGGGTAGGATGCTCAAATTCATAGGAAGGTGACTGTTAGAAGTAAGGTTTTGACGGTGAAGTTAACGGTATATAGTTCTGGTATATATGGCTTATGGAATGCTCCAAAGAATAAGGTTGTTATGAGGATACTTATGATAATAGTGTTGGCATATTCTGCTAGGAAGAATAGGGCAAAAAGGACCTGAAGCGTATTCAATGTTGAATCCAGAAACAAGTTCTGATTCTCCTTTTGTCAGATCAAATGGAGCTTGATCAGTTTCTGCTAATGTTGAAATGAATCATATTATGGCTAGGGGTCATGTGGGAAGAACTAATTATATGTGTTCTTGGGTGATAATTAATGCCATTAGTATGAAGGACCCATTTATTAGTAATACTGATAGGAGAATAATGGCTAGTGTGACTTCATATAAGATTGTTTAGGCGACAGTTCATAGGGCTCCAATTAAAGAGTATTTTGAATTCGAGGCCCATCCTGATCATAGGATTGAGTAAACGGAGAGGCTTGATATAGCTAGTATAAATAGTACTTCTAAGTTTATGTAAGTGAGTATGGTATAGGTAGGGGGATTCATATGGTTAGGCCTAGTGAGAGGACTAGGATGGGTGCTACAATGAATATAGATATAGAGGATGTGAGGGGTCGAAGGGGTTCTTTAGCGAAGAGTTTTATGGCGTCTGCAATGGGTTGAAACAGATCATATGGTCCTACAATGTTTGGTCCTTTACAAAGTTGTATATATCCTAGTACTTTACGTTTAACTAATGTTACAAAAGCTGCGGCAAGGAGGATTTAAATGATTAATGAAAGAATATTAATTGTAAACATGTTGTTAGGGAGAGGAGTTGAACCTCTGATAAGGATTTACATTTTATGCAATTACGGGTCTCTGCCACCCTAATGAACCCAAACTCTCGGGCAATGTAAATTAGTAAACTGTTTAGATTGAGATTATATCATCTATTGTGTTGAAAGCGCTTTACTAAAATAGGCCTCATTTTTCTTGCCCTTTTGTACTGGGAGAAATTATTTAATAGATAGTAACCAGCCTGGATTGCTCCAATCTGAACTCAGATCACGTAGGACTTGAATTGTTGAACAAACGAAACTTTGATAGCTGCTGCACCATCAGGATATCCTGATCAAACATGGAAGTTGTAAACCCTTTTGTCAACATGGACTCTAAAATAGGATTGCGTTGTTATCTCCAGGGTAACTTGTTCCGTTGATCAAGTTTTTGGATCAATATGTGATGTCGTACTTTTGACTAGTAAGTATAGATCTAAATTACTTGGAGCTTATTTTATTCTCCGAAGTCACCCCAACCTAAATTGTTGGCCCATGTGGAGATTTGTTTTCCCTGTTGGTTGTGTTGGTATAGTCTCTTAATTAAAGCTCCACAGGGTCTTCTCTTCTTATTGCCATATTCCCACCTCTTCACAGAAGGTCAGTTTCACGGATGGGAAGTAAGAGACAGTAAAACCCTCGTGTGGCTGTTCATGCAGGTCCCTATTTAGGAAACAAGTGATTATGCTACCTTTGCACCTTCAGGGTACCGTGGCCGTTTAACCTATGTCACTGGGCAGGCAGTGCCTCTAATACTAGAAATGCTAGAGGTGATGTTTTTGGTAAACAGGCGGGGTTTGTGTTTGTGGAGTTCCTTTTACTTCTTTTAATCTTCCCTTGATTGCATACCTGTGTTGGGTCAACAATTTCGTTTGATATTTAGTTTATA